AGGCCCTGTCGACCCCGTACCCCGCGCAGGGCCGGGCCGGGCCGGGCCGGGCCGCGGTGTTTCGGGGGCGGTTGGCCTGTCTGAGGGAAGGGCCTCTGCAGCAGAGCACGTCCCTGAGCTTCCGCTGGTTCGGAGTTCTCGGTTGTGACTCCCTGCAGGCGTTGCAGGGACCAAGAACGGACGGGCTGTAAGAGCTGCTGAAGCGCTCGCTCACCGTAAGCGTATTGAGGCGGGCACAGGGATTAGCAGTGCAGTGGCATGTCTCCTTTTCTTTAGAAACCAACCTCTTATAAAGAGGCTTTGAAAACTTATTGCTTATTTTAGATCTTTCCTTTTACCAGGGTTCTTCTCCACACCAACAGTTTCTCGGCTGACATCAGATGAACTGATTCTGATGCGTAATGAACTCTTCAACAAAGAGAAAGAGAGGCAGTTGTCTCTTTATCCACGAATTGAGAAAATCGAAGTAAAATACACTGGGAAATCTCACCCTGGCACCGTGTTTGTAATGAACAAAGCCTTGTCTACTCCATACAATTGTGCCATGCGTAAGTGAATGGACTCTTAAACTAACGTTGTGCCACCAATGATGAAAATCATGCTGCCAGTTGAAGTAGTTGTTATCTCAATTTGAAATGTTAGTGTTACTGACATTTTAATGACCAATGCCACAGACGTGCATTCAGAATATTTGTGTTTAGTAAGTTTAAAATACATTTATACTAAAATACATCAGCAGAAACTGAGCTAATTGTTGGAGTCTCTGTTAATAACTCATCCTTCCAAGTCATTTATAAAAATGAAACTTGCAGTTTGTTATTACAAATGTAGGGGTCTAAACTGCTGACTCTGAGGAATATGGTTAATAACTGTGTATTACTTGTTTCACTTTCTTTAGACTTAAGTGAGTGGCATTGCAAGAAATCTGTTCTAGCTCTTGTGGATGGTGAAGTCTGGGATATGTACAAACCTTTGACCAAATCATGTGAAATTCAGTTCCTTACTTTCAAAGATGAAGATCCAGAGGAAGTAAACAAGGTAAATCTGTATCTAGTCCTATTGTAGGTGACCCTGATTATGACCACTTGATTATGTTTGCCCTTTGCAGTTCTGTGTCCATCTGCTTTCTTGAACTTCGTGGTTGTGAAAGTTCAAGTATTTTTAATAGTTGGTTGGCGCACCATGATTATCATTAGCTGGATCAGGGTGTGGGCTAGGTGATGTGTGGGCATCCCTTCCAACTGATTGTTGTATTATTCTATGATTTAAGATTTAAATATCTCCAGGGAAACATTTGGCTTGCATTTCAAGTGCAGTTTTGATTTTTTTTTAAATTGATTTTATATGGAGAATCATCTCCAAATAGAAGATTAAATACTAAAGAAAGTAATGCTTGGGTTGACATCTAGGTTGTGTGTCACTCAGTTGGATGTTGGTATTCTCTTGGAATAAATCGTTGATATCTGATATGGGTAATACATCTATGTTTTGAAATTCTCTTTACAGGCCTATTGGCGTTCCTGTGCCATGATCATGGCATGTGTGTTAAAGCGGGCATTCAAAGATGAGTACTCAGTCAATCTGATTAAATCTCCAGAAGTGCCAGGTGATATAAGTGTTTTGTATTGATTGTCTTGTCTTTTCCTGCTTCTTAAGTGAGTGTCTAATAGTGTTACCAAAAAAACAGAGGCTCCTTTTCCAGTGAATGAAGGTACTTAGCATTGATATGTGTATTATGTGCTGTTGTTGTAGTCTTTAATTTACAATAATCACACTGAAAACAATTTTGTTATCAAAGCACAGAAGATTGGTCTGTGTGGCAACTGCTTTTGAGACCACTTAGGATTTCATAGGTTAAGTTAGTAATTTCTGGACATAACCTTTTTATTGTGAAGTTACATGAGTTAAGGTATTTAGAAGACGTGATGTGTTTCTGTGAAATTCCTGTAGTAACTATATATAACCTTGTGAGCACTTGAGTTAGTAAAAATCATGATGTATGCATTAAGGTGGAAGATTATTGAAGTACAAACAGGGTTTGTACTTCAAGTAACAACTTTTGCTCATCTGTGACCTGATTGAAGTTTCAAAAAGTGAGAAAATGCGTGAGGGGAGGTTATTTAAAAGCGTCCATGATTATGCATTTGATATACAAGAAGGTTGATTGCCAGTCATGTGGAATCCTCCTACAGTTGATTCACTTTTTTAGCAGTTCCAGCATTTGTCTTGATTGGTAAGTGTAGAGTGGATATTTCAGTTTCACCAGGATTTGGAGTATTCTTGCATATATTGAGCTATATCTTTGTACTGTATGTATAGAAATAGTGTGAGCTTACTGGGTTCATAAGCTTGTTTTCTAAGATGGCAATAACTGAATAAATATACACACAGAGTGTTCTGATGACTATCACAGAAATTTGTGTTGTCTTTATAATAAATTTGTGCCATGCTTGTGTCATGGATAAACATTCTACCTCAGCTCTAAGATTGTCTGATTTCTCTATGCAATAAATTCCTCTTTACAGCTTAATAGCGCAAGTTTACTTTTAGTGTACTGTGCATACACAGGAAAAATGTGAAATGTTTTCAGAGTGTTTTTCTTTCAATGTTAGATGCAGTGTTCAGAAGCACTACTTTTTTTTTTTCTCTTTAATGGGGTTGTATTATCCTGACACTATATTAAAACTCATTTCAAATTACTTTCTCATTCATTCATATTAAATGAAAATGATTCGGGTTTGATCTGTCATTTGTATAATCACAGCTGAAAATTTATATTATGGATTTCTTGAGATAATTTGTTTTCTCATTCATTTTTATATAAGAATATAGTATGACAATGAAATACATATTTTGTTACAAACATCAATATTCTTCTCTTTGGAATTGGAATTGCAGTGATCTCTGGAGCTTTTTGTTATGATGTAATTTTGGACAATAGACTGAATGACTGGAAACCAACAAACGTAAGCACAGTAACTTCTTGCCTGGAAAGTTGTAGAGCTTGTATCCTTGTCCAGTGGTTCTTTCTTAATGGGGGAGAGGGGGCAGTGTGTTTTTTTTTTTCTTTTTGTTGGATATATCTACAGTAGTGTTTGTTTAGGTTAGGAGTTGTCTTTGGAAACTAATCTCTGCATTTACCACATACTGGCTATCACTGCAGAGTGCTCTCAGAGCACACAGACTGGTTTCCTTTCAGATGCAATTAAACCTTGAGCTGTCCTCCAGATGCTTACAGGTTTTAGGTCTGTGGGACTAGAGTAAGTTGTAGTCTGAAATACAATTAAAGACAGTTGACGTGGCCATTGGGTCCTTGGTACCATCTTTGTTACTATACAGATCTGCTCCTACTCACCTGCTCTTGCCTGGTAATGTGGATGAAACCACAGTTTTTGTGTAAGCAGAAAATAAAAATGTAGGGGACAGATACACAGATTTTCACCTCGTGGTTTATAGCATAATCAGTTTATTGTTGCAAAAGAACTGTGGGCACATTGAGCTGAAGCTCTCCTTAATAGCTTGCTTGTATTTCATTCTCTTCAGTAAATCTAATAACCTAAAACCTCATTTCGTAGCTGGTCTGATTACAATTGTTTTAATCATCTGGTACCTATTCTTGTTCCCAAATATCAGCAGACGTGTGTACAGCTAACAAAGCAGTATTGGTACAATGCAGGTTTTTTCTTCGATATGATCTTGTGGTTGAAGTAACTTAGGAAATATTTTCTATGTGACATTATAAATTTTTCTTAATTAAAATTTCTTATTTATCAGTAAATCTGAGTATACAGAGCTTTGGTTTCTGGACCAAGGTGATCAATTTCTATTTATTAATTATTCAGTACTTTTTTGCCCTTTGATTCCGTCACAATAGAGGCCATGTGTAAGTGGAGTCATGATTTTGGGAAACAAGATACACAGTCTTGCTACTATGTATGTATATCATGTAGGGAAAATCTGAGAAGTTTAACTCCAAGTAATGTATTGTTTCTGGTGGGAAAAATGCCTGTTGATTTGACTGGGCAGTGCATCAGTCCATTTAAACAGTGGTGATCTGTAGCAATCTCTTGCTGATACATAGCAAGAGTTACAGTCCTACAGGAATATTCTTATATTTCAGGTAGATAATCCTTGTTGTTTTGGCTAATATTTAGTGTTTCCTATGCTTTGTCTATTCACTACAGCTGTGAAGCAGTGGTAACAGTTTTGTATGTATAAACTGTTTTTTAGGACAGCTTCCGTTCCCTTACAAGGGATGCCACAAAGATAATTCATAAAGACCTGCCATTTGAAACACTGCATGTTGAAGCAAAAGTAGCACATGAAATGTTTCAGCATAACAGGTAAGTGCCTAAATTTGCCTTTCTTTTAGAGAGGCAATTAGGAATTTATTTAAATCTCTGATTGGTTTTGTAAATCTAAAATAAGATGTGACAGATGAGGTAAGAAGATAATTCTCCCGCTACTTTGAAGGAGCCTGCCTCCATTCTCTTTGTCACACTACCTTAATTTATTTTTAATGTTCTCTCCAGAGGCTAACACTTTACAGGATATTGTTTTGTGGCAAATGAAAGACTGTAGACTTCTTTGTTTAATAGTGAGCTCTAAGATTTCACTGCTTTTAAATTGAAGCTCTGGTGGTTAGATTTTGGAGTGCTAGTTACTCTCAGCCTGTGCTGAAAAGCTGTCGTGTTCAAAGGAATGTAGATTTTTCGTATCATGGTATCTTCAAAGGAGGATTTGATGATACACAGGTTTTTAGCTCTGCAGAGGGAAAATGGATAAAATACTGTGGCCTTGCTATGAAAGAAGGCTTGTTCAAAACACTCCAGCCTTCTTCAGTGAAAAAACACTTAATGTTTTGGGAAAAAAGTTCTCTGATCCATAGCTTTTTAGTAGTTGGAGAGAGGTGGGGGAAAATGATAAATAATTTATCATTTTGTGAACCAAAATGAAATTATGTTAAAACTAAAGTTGCAAAAATAGTTAGTTTTTTAGCTTAATAATGATGATATTAATGTGACGTACAGACAGACAGACATCTCTTTGCTATGTTGGCTGGCAAGCATTGACAGTAGGTGGGAGCTGACTTTTGATATTAGCTTTAGACATTGTATGTGTATATTTGTGTGTGTGTGTGCGTGTAGAAAGAGCAGAGAACACTTGGCTGTCTTGCAGATGGCCAGCTGTTGAGGGCCACAGATGGCATAAACTCAGTTTAGGTGGTCTAATGGCATCTTATAGTCTTACATGTGACTTGAAAAACTCTTTATTTGAAGTAGTAGGTTCATTTTATTTTTCTGTTGAGGGAGCACGGCCCTCCTATAACATATACTTAGAATAGAACAGAATATTTTAGTAGCAAGGGAACTACAGTGATCATCTAATCCAACAGGGCTGACCAAAAATTAAGGTGTGTTATTAAGGGCATTGTCTAAATGTCTCTTAAACACTGACAGGCTTGGGGCATCAATCACCTCTCCAGGAAGAATGTTTCAGTGTTTGACCACCCTCTTCATAAAGGAGTGCTTCATAATGTCAGTCTGAACTTCCACTGGTGCAGCTTTGAACCATTCCCACACATCCTGTCATTGGATCCCAGGGAGGAGAGCTCAGCACCTACCTGTCCCCTTCCTCTCCTCAGGAAGCTGGAGAGAGCAATGAGGTCACTCGTCAGCTTCCTTTTCTCCAAACTAGACAAGCCCAAAGTCCTCAGCTGCTCCTCGCAGGACATGGCTTCCAGCCCTTTCACCAGCTTTGCTGCCCTCCTCTGGACGCGTTCAAGGACCTTCACATCCTTCTTAAATTGTGGAGCCCAGAACTGCACACAGCACTCAAAGTGAGGCTGCACCAGTGCGGAATACAGTGGGATAATCACCTCCTGTTTGATGCACTCCAGGATGTGGTTTGCCCTCTGGGCTGTCAGGGCACACTGCTGACTTGTACTGAGCCCTGCTGTTGACCAGCCCTCCCAGATCCCTTTCTGCAGGGCTGTTCTCCAGCCACTCCTCTCCCAGTTCATATGTGTGCCCAGCGTTAATCCCTCACAGGTGCAGAATTGGCGTTTGAACTTGTTAAATTTCATGCCGTTGATGATTGTTCAGTGCTCCAATCTGTCTAGGTCCCTCTGCAAGACCTCTTGTCCTACAAGTCAACAACACTTTCCAGTTTGATATCATCAGCAAACTTAATGGTACATTCAACTCTTGCATCCAGATCACTGATAAATGTATTGAACAGAACTGGCCCTAGAATTGGGCCCTGAGGAACACCACTGGTGACTGTCTGCCAGCCAGATGTAGCCCCATTCACTACAACTTTTTTTGCTCTGCCCTTCTGCCAGTTCTTCACCCAGTGCACCACGAACCTACTTATCCCACAACTGGACAACTTGTCCAGAAAGGTGCCATGAGGGACAGTATCAAAAGCCTTACTAAAGTCCCAAAAAACTACATTCACCTCCTTCCCTTCATCAGCTGGGCAGGTGACCTTTTAGAAAAATATGGAATTAGTTAAGCAGGTCTTTCCCTTTGTGAACACATGTTGACTGTGCCTGTTGATTGCATTGTTTTTTGAATGCATTTCTATAGTATTCAGTATAATCTCCATAATTTTTCTGGGAACTGTCGTTAGACTAACAGGTCTGTATGACAAGCTTTATGAAACGTCATATAAAATTAAGAATTCAAACCTGTTTCAAAGCTCACATAAATATGATCATGATTTTTAAGAATGCTCCTTAAATCTATCTCTTAAGTATTCTTACAAGAACTAGGTGTTAAAGGTGAGGATTTTTGTAACCTTTTTTTTGTCTTGTTCAGGTACAAAATGGAGATGATAGAACGAAAAGCTTCTCAGAATGCAGAAGGAATTGTAACATTACATAGGTGAGCAAAACTGAACTCTCATTCTGTAATGATTCACTGAAAGATTTGATTATATTGCAAGTACTTTCCATAGGTGTGGACTAAGTTACTTGTGATAGTTTTCAATTTAAAAATCACTTGTATTCATTGCTGTCTGTAGTCTGTCTTAAGATGTTGGTTTTGTTTTTGTGTTTGTTTTTTTTTTAAATACAACCATTGTTTTGTGATACTTAGCACTTGGTGGATCTCACTACATTTCTATTTCTTGTTATGTTAAAGGTGGTAAGTGCCAGAGAAGTCTTACTGCTTTAAATGCTCTTACATAACATCTAAATAATTCTCTAGAGTTTGACAGGTTAAACAAAATACAAACCAAATACTTGTCTGAAAACAGGAGTTAGCATTGCATAGTGGTTTTTTTTCCAGAGTTGTCAAGATCGTCCTAACTGGCAAGCTGCTGCCTTGTAGTGGTGGAGATGAGAATGGCTCCTGGGATACCGTGCAAGATATAAATGTTCTTAGGCTGGAAGCAGGAAGCTTGTGCTGTATCTCAGTCATAGAGAAGAATTTGAGACTAGCTTAGGCTGATGTAGGATATTCAGTTTTCTAGATGTCTAAATTTTGCTGCATTTGATTTTGGAATCCACATCTCTCTAAAGGAACAGATGGCTTTGCAGTGATGGTTCTTGGAATTTTAAAACAACGCTGTGTCTGTTCTATCCTTCCTCCCACTCTCCAATTTGCTCAGTAAGAGGGAAAATGGACTTATCTATTGATTTCTGGGAGACATTTGTTCCAAGTATTCTTTTGCTGTACATTTTTTTTGTCTCTCACTTTTCTTAATTGATTTGCAGTTTTCCCGGACCTGAAAGGGAAAAATACCTGTGCAGGTTGTAAACACTGTACCGTGGAAAATACATGCTCCTGGAGACAAATCTTCTGGTGAAAGACAGTTATCCCACTTTTAAAGCCAAGATGTCTTCAAAGATTTGTTAAACCTAGGATCCTCTGTCTAGACTTAAGGTTTAAATTTCATAGGTTAATTTTAGGAAATTGTGTGACTTGTACTTTTGCTTCAGGAGACCTAGAAATGTTGAACTGGGGATTTGTTTAGATTTGGTTTGGGATTTGTGTGGATTTTCTTTCATCTGTTCTGTGGATAGGAATTCGCTAATCAAAAATAAAAACAAATAGGCTTGTAATTCTCTCTAAATATATTTGACATAGGGTTTTTTTTCTCCCATCAGGTTTGGTGACTTTGTAGATGTTAGTGAAGGCCCTCATATTCCAAGAACAAGTTTCTGTTTCCAGTATGAGATAACGGCAGCCCATAATCTTCAAACTAACCAATCTGAATTGATAAGGAGGTTCCAGGGTGTGTCCCTGCCAGTGCATCTGAAGGTAACTAATCCATGATGTACAGGTTTTCCTTCTTTAAGTTAGGTCATTTGTCTTACTTTCAGACCTTTATTATATGCTGTGCTAGTAGCCAAATGTAATTCAGAGGTGGGAACAGTAGCAGAAGGGGAAGGCCCATGGTGATGAATATGTTGGATATTTGGGGTTAGTTTTACTGGAACTATTGTGAATGTGAAGTCACCTAGAAAAGCGCTTAATGTTATTTTTCAGTACCGAAAGTGTTGTTTCAGTTATTCAATTTCTGCATAGACATTTCATTCAGCTTGCCTTAGTTGTGCATGTTAATCTTCTGAAAGAGAGGCTGCTAACAGTGTTTATTCAGATTCAGGAAAGAGCAGAATTTTGAACTTATTCTCAAGATAAAGGATGCCATTTTGAAGTCTTTTAGGACACCAAAGCAAAACTTAGGACTCGTTAGTGCTAGGACTTTTTTTGTTATTAAACAAAGGCTTTGCATGACTGTAGGTAGAGGCAGGAGTCTTTCTTCCCATTCCTGTTAACTTACATGATTTTAACCTGTGGTTTAGCACGTGTGCTGTTCTCTCAGTTGCGGAAGTTTCAAGAGACAAGTGGGCACTGGGTTCCTCACTTCATCTCTGTGTTCCCTTCCTCCTCATAAGATTTTAATTCCTGTTTTTACCCATTACCCCCTCAATGATTCCACACATTGGATGTGTGTGATTAGCATTTATTCAAGTCCCCCATATGGGCAAATTGGACACTGAAATTATAAACTGTAACATCTAAATTAGGGATTGTTATGGTTTTGTGCTGGCATTTCTATACATTTGTCAGAATATATTCTATGATAAGATTTTCTTTTTTTTTACCTCCACTAACATAATTTAATGACATCTAACACAGGCTTACCACATCGTGTGGCAGAAACTGCTGGAAAGATCAAAAAGGCTGGTAAGTTTCAGTCATGAAGTAGAGTTTACCAAATATAAACATATGCTGAGATAGAGTAGAATTTGAATGATATAGGTAGTGTATTCAGGAACTTATCTTTAGGAATGGAAATGTTCACAGGTTAAAAATTGGATGCACAGGAAATCTAACTGCTGTGTAGCAGAGGGTGTGCTAGTACTGTTTCTGAAGTCTAGTTATTAAAATGCACTGTACTGTTTAAAAAAAACCCCACTATTCAACTGATATAATTTGTGCTATTAAAAAACCAACCCTGGAGCAAATTATATCAGACTTCCTATCTGTGGCTCTGAAGCTGTCTGCTTCTGAGAATCCCACATGGGTTTTGTAGTAATCTCTCTAAGCTGTTGTCAATTTTATCTTTAAAGTATATTGGCATTTTTCAAATTAATCTCTAGAATTAATATTGGTATCACACGCATGTAAAATTTTTTTTTTCCTGTTTTAATCATGAACGTGAAATAAGAAAAGTAAAATTGGAATAACGTATTTACACTTACCTAGATTTTAGGTAAGATTTTCTGCCACAGGTTTGAGAGAACACATGCAAACATATTTCTATAAGTAAATGCAGTGATAAAATCTAATACCAGTGAGTGAACCTAGGTGAAAGTTACTGGAGATAAAAGTGACACAAAACTGCATAATTGCAGTAGTTTGCCTATTTTTTGCCTGTTTAAAACCTACATGGACAATAAGTTTCTTGTAAACATTTTTCTGTTCAACAACTAGTGTTTTAAAGTTGAAATGTACTTATTTATCCAAGACAAGCTTTACAATGACTGAGTAAATGCAAAAGGCAAGTTTTTAAGATAGATGGAACTATAAAATAATGTAAGCTGTATATAACCAGAGACTCACTATCAAGACATGCTTTAACATAAGAAATATTCATAAGAATTAAACAGCAAATGTTTTGGAGCCTTCGGATCAAATACTTTACTATTTGTGTGGCAAGAGAGAGAAAATGTGCTGTATGTCTACTGAAACTTGTTAGCCAAGGATGTGCTCAGAGCCCATGATACTTTTCTCTGAAAACAGTTAGAAGATGCTTGTCATTCAGGTTGTTTCATGTTGAAGATAATAATTGTCTTTGTAGGCTATCCTTTCTTGTTGCAGTGTCAGTATGAGAGTAGGATTTCCAGGGTCGCTTTGTAGGCTATCCTTTCTTGTTGCAGTGTCAGTATGAGAGTAGGATTTCCAGAGTCAAGGAGAATGAAATAATTTAAAAAAACATAACAAAATGGATACATTTCTGCAGGTCACTGAAGAAAAATATTTGGAAGCAGCAGCAGAATGTCATGAGGCAAAAGATGGAACTGAAGAAGGAAAAACTGTATCAATTTAAATTAACCTCTAAATGTACATAATAAAATGTGTATTTTTACATGACTTACTGTGCTTCATCTAGAAATGTCTTTGGTAATTAATTTGAATTCTGTGGACTTAAATCACAGATAGATTTCAAGCCATTATCAGTCATTTCAGTCCACTTAAAAAATTTCACTTAAAACATTACCTTCTCCCCTTTGTTTTATTTGCGCTAACTCATCTTGCAAGTTGTCCTTATCTTGAAAGCAATTGTATGTGTCCCTGTGTGGTCCTCTGTGATTAAATGCAGCATGGCCTACAGACTGTAGTTGAACTGGCAGCTGAAAAGGCCATCCTCTTTATCGTGATATAATTTCAAGACCCCTTGTTTCGTCTCTTGTGAAGGAATTACTCCCTTCTAATTTCTGACCTGATGTGTGTGTTTCTTGCTGGAACTTCCTGATTAAATTCCACTGAGTGCTTTGCCTACTGCAATAGAAAGTTGAGACAAATAGTACCTTAAAAAAAAAAAGAAAAAAGGAAAAAGATGCCCTTTCAGAAGTCCTTAAAAGGTTAAAAAATATTATTTTACTAATTTTGATTTCCTGTCAGAATTGAAATTAGGTACTTTGTGTGTTTCTGGTTCAAAAGACTGCATTCAGTAGACAACTGTGTAATCGCCATTGCTTTACTAATACAAAAGTAGCAGAATGTAAAAGCAGAGAAGTTCTTTGAGTTTAAATATCTTCTGCTGTACAAGTGCAGTTAAAGATTGTTTTCCAGAATAGTACCAGGAGTGTAGTCTATTACTTTCATCCCCAGTGTAATAAGATTTATTAAGCATTTTCATGCTTTGATACTTAAATATGGTGAATTTGATTAAATTTCACAAGGGGTTTTGTTAGATGATTTTTTCTGATGTTTTGTATTTTCATTCCTAGTTTATTGGAGCTGTTCTCATTATGCCAGAAGAGATTTTTATTAATATTTGAAGTGCATATATTTTATCTGAATTTTATCCCAGTTAGTGTTTTCACCATTCACTGTGTCACTTGCTTTCTAATAATTGCTACTATGGTTTTGTAAGAGCAGGGTAGCAAATCAGTAAAGTACATTTAGGTAAGGAATTCTTACCTAACTTAATCCAACTAAACAATAAATAAATGCTGAATGTGTTGGAGCACAGAAGACGACATGCAAGTGGTAAAAGTAGGTTTTGGTGAAACTGCAGAAATCTGCTTAAGGTATGTGTTTAAAATATGTTTGTTCCTACGCATTTCTGTGCTTGGTGCAATCTTTAGCTATTGAGATTTACTGGCATACAGTGATGTTCGAAGTCTGTCAGTATGCTGACAGTCTGTGACCTCTAATTTAGTTTCCTGTCTAATACAACACATCTTTATAGTCCATGCCTTCTCAGAGTACTTTAAAAACTGGGTTTTTTTCCTCATGATTAATGTTGCAGAGGACTTTTAAGAATGGTATCAGATGCTTATTGTTTTAAATAAGATTCTTGGTTCAAGGTTTACCTTAAGAGTACACACACATTCTATGTTTTCTTAAGACTATAAATGATCTTTGCACTGAACTTCAAATATTTGTGTTTCTTTTAAACCTAACCTTCCAGCGTATACTTTGGCTTTGAATCTGTTGCTCTGGTGCTACTGAAGGAGCAGGCATTGGTTCCTGTCTTGAGGAACACAAAATTTGCTGGGGTTTTTGTTTGCGTTCTTTTTTGGAGGTGCCTGCTATCTCTGATTAACTCAAGACCGTAGTGAAATTATGCCAGTGGGGTCTGATTTAGGTGATGTGTTTTGAATCTTAAGCCAGTTACATCACCCACCCACAGAGTCTCCTGATGTCTGCTCTGTATTTTGGGAATCCAGTTGAGAATTCCTCCTGGATTCCCCTGCCTGCAGAGGAAGGTGAGAATGCTGCTTCCCCTTAGGAAATTTTTTAACCTTAGCTGGAATTCCATGTTTCAGAGCTTTTCTGGGTTTTTTTTTTGGAGGGGTAGGGAACCTGTGTTTTACAGTGTGGGAAACTGAAAGGTGTATAGCTGGGCTAAAAAGTCTGGAGAGGGAATTTCTCTTTCCTGACTTTACTGGGTCTAAGCCAAGCAGGTGTGGGATGGGCGGGGGAGTTTGCCACAGGGCCTGGGGTGCTCCCAGAGCTGCCACGAGTAGGTAGGAGCAGCGGCTGGGACAGGAGCTGTGGGGACACGGGTGAATCCCCATGGAAGGGACTCGTGCAGGTGCAGAACTGTTATTCAAAATGCTGTTGAGGGCTGCCAGCTGAAGTTTACATGAGATTTAACTTCCCCTCCTATCTGCAGAGGTCTTTGCATAAAAAGCACAGCACTTGGTTCTAGCTCACATCTTGGTTTACGTGGGCTCCAGAAGACAGGTCTTCCTTTGGGAGTGATGGAGCTGGGGGATGTTGTTGAAAAGCAACAGGATTCTCGCAGAGGACAGTAGCAGTTAAGAGAGAGCTGGGTTATAGAACACAGAGTCCACTTCTTACCACCAATATGGTGGTTACAGCACTTTTTGAAATAGGAGTTGTAGATTCAATTCCCTGTTCTGCCAGAGAGGGATTCAGAGCTACGCTTGCAGGGAGAGACATCTGTGGGATTTTTTGGGAAGGATGGATCATAAGGTACTTTGAGTATTTCCCACTCAATCTGTATGTAGAAAAAAGTCCTGAAGATTTCCTGGATGAGCATGAGAACAAATGGAAACAATGCTTACAGCAGCCACAGCAACAGGGAGATCAGGTCCCTGAGCTCAGGGTCATTTCTGTATTTTATCATTAGTTGTTGGCATATAAAATGCTGAAATTGTCTACCTAGAAGAATGTTACAGCAGGTAGCTAGAGTAATGCTTCCTTTCTCTTTTTGGCTGAAGGATTGCTGAACTGCAGGGTGGTACTAGCTTGGCTGGCTATTTGGGGCTGTGCTCTGACATACACCTGGAACTATAGCTGTATACCAAACTTAAAGCCATGGGTATGGCAAAGCTTTGTCTGGGTGTGATTCTAGATGTGTGTGCACTGTCCTGCCTACTGTGGGGCCTGGCCCAATCTTCTTCATTGGAAGCCAAAAAAGACCACTGTAGGTCACTTCAAAAAGACAGAAGAAAGTAGAATTATTTCTCCATACTGAATGCTACAGATCCCAGAAACTACAGGGATTAGGGGAGGACAGGTGGACAAAAGAGACTGCAGAATTAAACCAAGTCCCCTCCTTGACAATTTATCCTCTTTATTAAATTGCTCTTCAGTGTAAAGAAGCAGTTTTTACTGTATCCATTTAATGAAAGAAATGCAGAGACAGCTAAAGATTAAGGAAGAATCTAGGAAGATGCTGTACTGCAAGATATAGATGATGGAGAAAGAGAAGGGCAAGGTGATTTAGGCCAACACACATGAACAGAAGACACTGGCCAGATTCTGATAAGGAATAAATAAAGTGGGTTTTGGGGTTTTTTTTGTGTTTTTTTTTTTTTTTTTTTTTTTTTAAATGATGAAGGTGGTGAGACACTGGAGCAGGTTGCCCAGAGAAGCTGTGGCTGCCCCCTCCCTGGCAGTGTTCAAGGCCAGGTTGGACGGGGCTTTGAGCAACCTGGTCTAGTGGAAGGTGTCCCTGCTTATGGCAGGAGCATTGGAACGAGATGAGCTTTAAGGCCCTGTTCGACCTAAACCATTCTATGATGACAGGGGAAAAGGCAGGAGCTGAAGCCTTTTTCCTTGTTGCACATCTCAGTAGTAGCTCCATGGCTTCTCACATTCAAGTTGTTCCTCCTACCTCTTGTTTGAAAGAGTTGAAACTTTTCCAGATTGCAGAATTTTTGTTCTGAGTTTGACTCTTGAGCCTTCCCTTTTTTTGTTTATTGATTTTGTCCAAAAGGAAACTCTGTACTAAGGTTAAAGCTACATGGTGTCTTGATCCTAAGAGGTGGCAGTAGGAAGGTTGAGCTGAGTCAGTTCCAGTTTTGTATACATGTTATCTGACCAACAGATACTTTCTTTCCAGAGTAATATTCTGTAATTCATGTTATCATGGATTTTGGAGATAGAAAGTCAGTTATGATGTAGTTTGACTTCTTTCATAACAGGAGGAATTAAATGTCAAGAGAGAGTTGGGTTTTTTTACCGAGGAAGTGAAACTTTTCCCTGGGAAATTGAACACATGCAAGTGATGAAAACGCTCAATCATCAGTTAGATATCAAGTCCTTTTATGACAGCAGCCAGAATGAACTTCCCTTTCTACTTTAACCTCTGGCAAGAAGTAATCTCTTATTGCTGTTTGGTAACTTAATCTAATGCCATACCACTCCGCTTATCTCAATACTTTGTTATATTTGAAGCCAGTGAACTTGCTAGTGCAGCTACATTTATTTTATTAGTTTTTTAGGGAATCCAGATGCAGGAACTCAGTATCACAGAGGCCTTTGATATGAAGAGTTGGCAGTGGATATTTCTTGAAGAACATCAACCATCTGAAAATGGTAATGCTATCATGCTGTGGTCTTTCACGAGATTTAACCCCAGTCATGGACAGCATTAACATTTTTTCAGAGTAAAAAGAAAACCTATTTTAAAAATATTTGCTAATATAATATCTGCAACCTAGTACACCCGCTTTCCTGGGGAATCAGCTATGCAGAAAAAATACACATAAATGGTCTAATGGCCATATTTATATTTTCTTTCTATTTCTTAAGTTTTCAGGTTAATCAACTTGCATTTTTTTAAAGAGAGAAAATGTAAGGGAACATTTGATTTTTAAAGCATTACTATGAATCAGAATGGTGAATGGCAAAACCTGTTTCTCCCTTAATATACCTTCTATTAGTATGTGTCTACATAGGATAGAAAAGTGAAGTCCAGGATGGGGAGTGGAAAGGTGGGATGAATCAAGGAAGTCACTGTTTCACCCTAGTTACAAGAAATGAGAATTTCTATTGACTCTCCTCCTCTCTTTCACCACAGTTTCCTACCCACTTTCAAAGCTATTTTTCCTGCAAAATGAATAGGAATAAGCTTTTCTTTAACGAAATGTGCTTCACCACATTGAGAATCTCCTCTCAGAGCTATAGCTCTGACTTTGGAAGGGATGAAGCTGGCTTTTGCTTCTTGGTGGTAGTGGCCCCTGGCTGTAGGCATCTCCAGGGGAGCCACTGAACTTGCAGCCTAATTTGTAAAACATACACACCCTGCAGCAGTTCTGAGTGGGAAAATTACATTCAGTGAGACCGTTCATACGTGAGACTGTTTTATATGTGAGACCATTGATTCATAAGTGTTTGCGGTCTTGAGGTTCTCTGTAATCATACCTTCATGCTGGGTGGGAGTTCACAGTCAAAACATTGCGAACAGAAAAGGGTATACATATTTATATAGCACAAATATGAACCTTATTTCTTAATTAATGGTGAGTACATTGAGGTTTTTTGTTTCCTCTTCTGCTCCCCCATCAAATTAATGTTTCATAACTAAACTATTCATTAAGCAATTTAATTAGAG